TTTTTTTTTTTTTTTTCTCTCATAACGAGGCATGAAATACTTGAAAATGAACTAACATGAAAGTTTTCAACGAACCTAATTTTCTTATCTGTAGGCAAGAGAGCATTTATCGCTGGTGTAGCTGATGATAATGGATATGGGTGGGCAATTGCAAAATCTCTTGCTGCGGCTGGTGCTGAAATTCTTGTCGGCACATGGGTGCCTGTAAGTGAAATAGCTAACTCAGATGGTTGATGAATTGCTTTTTTGCACTTCTACCCAAGGGAAACATAAATCTTTTTGGCTCTCTGGTATGTCAATGTTTAGTATTTGAAAATTTTCTTGTTTAGGCCTTGAACATTTTTGAATCCAGCTTCAGACGTGGAAAGTTCGATGAATCACGAGTGTAAGATATCATTCTTATTTTTATCCTTGAATAAAGTTTTATTTCCCTCCTAACGATTGTTTGATATTCCAGACTGCCTGATGGTTCTCTTATGGAGATCACAAAAGTATACCCTCTCGATGCAGTTTTCGACAGCCCTGACGATGTTCCTGAAGATGTAATTTAGTAATCTCTAATTGACTAGATAAATCTTTTATGCTCTGATTTTCTGTGTTAAACATGTTTATTTTTCCCATCCATGCAGATAAAAACAAATAAACGCTATGCCGGATCCTCAAATTGGACTGTAAAGGTACACACACTAGTTCCCTTCCAATCCAAAGCTTCTATATAGAAAAGTTATATTGAACAATATGGTAGCTTGTCCATGTGAATGAATTTGAAGTTTACCAAAAGCCAAGTAGAAAGTGTCTTTTGTTTTATATGCACGAGCATGTCTCAGGAATCAACTATGCCAAAATTTGATCAAGTCTTGTTGTCATTTTTCATTGAATCTATCTGATGTATTTCCATAATTGCATTTTTCCAATTTTAATGCTCTGGCTACTTCTAAACCATCTTGTAGGAAGTTGCTGAGTCTGTGAAGCAAGACTTTGGCAGCATTGACATTCTTGTGCACTCCCTTGCTAATGGACCGGAGGTATTTAACTAGGAGGTTTAGTTCAATAATTGATTTTCATATCTTGCTTGTTTTCCTTGAAACAAAGATGCTCTTGATAATAGGTAACAAGACCTCTGTTGGAGACATCTCGGAATGGTTATCTAGCAGCTTTATCCGCATCAAGCTACTCTTATATATCTCTACTGAAGCATTTTGTTCCGATTATTAATCCAGGCAGGTTTAAATATTTCCATCAAAGGATTTTGATTTTACCTTGCACATGAGTGCCATATCTTTTATTTTTCTAGTTACATGTTACGCGAAGCAAGGAAAATATTTAAAAGGAAACTTTGGTTTTTGTTGTAGGTGGGTCTTCATTATCCCTCACGTACATAGCATCTGAAAGGATCATTCCAGGGTATGTATGTAACATGTTTGCTTGGCAACCCTATATTCAAAGAAAATATGCTTTGCCTTCTCTTCTTAATTAAGCTACAGTTTTCTCTTATAAATAAATAAAGTTTGTTTGGTGGTTTGTATCATCAAAATTTCACTTATATAACATTGTAATGGAATTCTTAATTCAGGTATGGAGGTGGCATGAGTTCTGCCAAAGCTGCTTTGGAGAGTGATACACGAGTAAGATTTTCTCCCTCTATTCTCTCTTTCTGTCGGGCTGGAACCATTCTTTCTTACGATGATGAGAGTGTTGTATGTCGGAATGTGATTACTATTCTTCTAGGTACTTGCTTTTGAAGCTGGAAGAAAGCACAAAATCAGAGTGAACACTATATCTGCTGGTATTTTCTGCCTTCTGTCTTTCCCCCCTTCTTTTTTATTTTTATGAAAAAGCAGCATATCTGCTGACGGCAAATTATTTTCTCTCGAGTCATATTGGTTAGTGTGTTTTTTGTTCTTTCCGGAAATCAAAATATGATTAAAGCTGCTATATGCGAATTTCCACATGGAATCTCCTGAAGTCATTACTCTAATATTCGTTTCCTGCTTGTGTTCAGGCCCACTAAGAAGTCGAGCTGCAAAAGCAATTGGGTTTATTGACATGATGATTGATTACTCATCAGCCAATGCACCTTTGCAGAAAGAATTATCTGCTGGTAAATATTCCATCAATTTTTTTGTACATGCTCATTATTCATGCTGAAATGGTACCTTTTTTAATATGATAAAACAGAGGAGGTGGGGAACGCAGCTGCCTTCTTGGCATCACCTCTGGCTTCTGCCATTACCGGAGCTGTTATTTATGTTGATAATGGTTTGAATGCGATGGGCGTGGGAGTCGATAGCCCAATGTTTAAGGATATAGATATTCCAACGGACAAGCATTAGATTTGCTTGCAGATTGGTTTGCTGATGTTGGTCTTGCCAACCCTCAGAAGGTTAGCCTAGAGTCTTGTTCCCCCAGCTAGTTCAGTATTCATTTTTCCTATTGGATGGAATTGTTGCTAGGAGAATGGCTTGGCCAAGGATTTTGAATTTGTGTTTCTAATTATGCTCATTGTATTCACCACAAGGGAAGTTCAAAATCTTCTGCATCTGGGTGCGCAGGCATTGCTGCAGTACGTTACGTATGAGAGTAGTACTTCCACGACATTGTGATGATTGATTAGGAACACTTAAAAACTTTTGGACTGATCAGGCTACAAAACGAAATGGGTATCTATAAATTTTAATCAAATAACATGAAAAATCTGAAATTGTTTCTAATTAAGCCAGAACCCTTCAGCATATTGAGAAAGTTGTTCCAAAGTAATGTACGGTTCTATGAGATAGCAGTACTTCGGAATCATATTATTTATTTCTTCTTTCTGCGTTTTTTTACACCCGACTTCATTTTTGTTTGTGCCATCATTTTGATTTGTGTTCATAAACATCTCTATGATTGCGATATCATAAACAATAGTGACCTCACTTTTTCTTGGTTCCTTTTATTTTATGTATGAGTAAGAAAGAAGAGTACAAAGAGCAGCAACCTGTATACTTATATCTAAATTCATACAACAATTTATTATTCAATCACCCAGAAAAAGGTGATATCAACAACTCTAATCTAACTTGCCCTTATGATTTCTTCTTTCATGGCCAAAGAGAGAGGCGCAAGAGTTGCTTCACTCTCCACCCTTACTCCCGGCATGGCTATTGCTCTGCTACCCACAAAGCCACCTTCTCCAATTTCAATATTTCCGAACTTGACTTCCCCTCCTCCTTCATATATGTGTCCAAATAGTAATGCTTCTCTTCCCACACTACCGCCTCTGTGGATCTTCACCATTTCAGGATTCAACAAAGCTCCCATGCTGTCCACATAACCCCCTTGCTCCAAATCCACATCTGAACCCATCAACTTCATTATCACCACAAATATGAAACTCCCACTTGTCATTTCCATGAAATAATCTCCCACCACTGTTTTAATGCCCTGCCATATTGTGTCCATGAAAATCCGTATGCTCCAAATTCCTATTGATTCCCCTTCTTTCTTCCTCTGCACAAGAACCCATTTCGCTACGACACAACAAAGTGCAGCTATAATCCCAGAAGACACCCACATCAATGGAAGTAACCAATGCAATGGAAGTTTCTTGTCTTCCTTCAGGTGCACAACACAAGCCAGTGGAAAAAAGGTGGCCAAACCTACGATGTAATAAGGCAGGGCTGTTTGTAATAGTGGTTGACAGAATGTAAGCCAGAAGTTCTGATACCAAGTCCTGTCCAGCGCCGCCTTTTCCTTGCCCCTTTCCTTCAAAGCTGCAGCCACTGGACAGCCAGAGAGATCTACTTTTGTGTCTGATTGTTGAAGGAAGATTTTCCAGGCCTCTGGGAGAGGACTTCCATTTCGCAGATGCTGGCAAATCTCATATATCAATGAACGGCCATGATCGATTGAAGCACTCTGGGAGACTGATGTAGCTGAAATGACGTCAACCTCGTCACATCGGAGAAAGGGGTTGAATTCCAGTGCTTCAGATTCTTCTTTTGATAGACTTTGGTGGATTTCAATTTCTCCAATGTCTATCAATGGAAACTCAGTCTCGTCCCAGGGTTTGGTGCAGTCAAGTGCGATGTCTTGATCAGCCTCATCTTGTGGAACTGGACGCATTTGAAGCTGAAAAACGTAACGAACACCTCCAGGAGAGTTCACACGACTAAGGAAATCTTCGGCCAAAAACAGCAACGGCCGTTTGTCATCATCGGCTCTTGGAATTGCACCTGTCTCTGGTGGGAGAATTCCAATCGGCTCAACCTTACCGGAATCCTCATTGATTGTTCTATCGTAAGGCCTCAATTTTAATTTCGCGTACATTTCTTGTCCACCTTTGAATCGGAACAGCCGGCATATGTTTGAGTAATAATGTAGCTCTGTATATGAGTCGGCTAAACGAAGAGAATTCCATACTGCATTACGGATATGAGGTACTTTCTTGACATGCTCTTCTCTTGCAGCAAGTCCGCACACAAGCCATGTTGCAAAGTCTGCAATTGTCCTTGCGTAGAATGCATTGCCTGTTTTCAATGTCAAGTCAAGGAGTGGGGTGGAGTCTGATCCATCTGAAAGTATTCTCAATGCTGCTCCACGAGCGTCGATCCTGGCGTCATCATCGGCACTCAAGCTGTTGCTATGTCTGATGAACACAGGGTAACTCTTCCCAGCAGAGAATATCTTGTGATCAGGTAAACCTTTAATGTTGTCATAAATTTTTAAATGTCCCTTCCCACTAACACCAATTCGATGGAAGTACCTTGTTTTGACTTTCAAAGTTGTAGCAGCTAAATTTGCAGCCAGATTGCCAACTATCTTCTTGTATTTCGTGTCCATCTTTTCTATTCTTTCATCCAACATGTGCATAGTATTCTTGATCATGACTGGAGTTCGAGAACCAACATAAACTCCTCCCTTTATGAGCGTTGAGTTCATTGGGGCAACCGAGAGTGCACCAAGAATAACGTCTTCTTGAATCACTGTGCCAGGAAGGACTATACTTTGGCTGCCTATAACAGAATTCTCTTGTATTTCAATCTTCCCACGAGAAAGACCACCAGTTGAATAGAATCCAGAAATAATCCTGCTGAAGTCACCGAGATGAACACCAGTATGGATATAGATTAGTTCCGGATCCAATACTGGATTGATGGCTCTGATTGAACAATGCTTGCCAATTACTGCACCTAGAAGGCGCAGGTATATGCAGAAGGCTTCTGTTCCAGACAAGAGGTTAGCAAATCTAAGGTGGCTGGCAGTGATAATTCGATGGCAAAGCCAAATCTTTAGGGGGTTTTGCTCCATTTTAGACTTGTTGGTGAGAAGACTTTTCATAACAAATGTGAGGATACAAAATATAATGCCGTGAAATAAGTACATGGAGGAAAACAAGATGGCAGAGCTAGTTGCATTTGATGGGACTTCAGCAAATATGGTAGCATAAGCAATTACAGTGAATGGCATCCAGTGGAAGGCTCCAACTAAGCAAATAAATGCAAGATGTTGAAGTGAAGGAGAGCTTTGAGATAGCCAAATGTAGAAGTAATAGACAATAGCTGCAGAAAGTGAGCCCAGAAAGCCAAGTAAGTAGATTCCCAAGAAGTGATAAATGGCCACAAGTTCCTGTCTTTCGCCTGCAGTTCTCTGTGGCTTGCTACGCTGATATATATATATTTCAAAGAGGAGCTTATATCAGTATTTTAGCGTAGATAAGAAGTTGGTTATTGCAGAATGTAAGTAGCTATTTGATTGTGCAAAGCCTGAAAGTAGGATAAGAACTACGTGTTGAAGTACGCTTGAAATCCAATATAGAATGGAATTATGTCGAACTGCTTAACTATATGGCAACAGAACAAAAAGAGATAAGTAAAAGGTACGTAATGGAAATTGATATTTGATGCAAGAACAACTATAGGATGTGCTATACCTTTTCAAGATTTCCGATAACTGAAGTGGTTACGATGCCTTCAATCTTTTGAAGAGCTGGAACTTCAACTTCTTCTCCTAAAATGGCACCTTTGTGGATTGAAGCATAAGGTCCCACTGAAGAATTTTGGCCAATTCTAATTGGAAGAAAGCTCAAGACTCCATTTTTGACCTCATGGCTTTGAATCAAAGCCCCTTCTGCAATAACAACTCCATCACCAATAGATACCAGAGAGGGGTCAGTGATACCTATGGTATCGAGAATAACCGAGGACCCTATCCTTGCTCCAAACATTTCATACCAGTATTTTAGGAACACGGTTCCTCTTAAATGCACAGCTAGAACTTTAGAAGAAACCTCTTGTGCTTTGTAGAACGCCCACCACTTGACAAAATCCATAGACCAGATGGAGACTTCAGGGGTGAGAGCATAATTTGGTCTTAGAAAAGAATTTCCAAGGAATGAGATGCACATGCAAGAAGAAACTATGCAAAGAATCCATGCTAGAGGAGCTAGAGTCAAGGGTAATAGATAATTCATCAAAGGAATGTGATCTGTGAAGGTGTGGAGAATAGGCATGGAACTAATGAAAGCTGAAATTGATAAATAAGCAGGAAAGGCCAGCATCATAGCAACAAGTATGAGAGCAAGAAGTTGGAAAAACCAGATACCGAATCGGCGAGTCCAGGAAATCTTTTCCATCTCGATCAATGCACAAGTTGTTTCAAATGTTGGATTGGCTGTATTTTTTGTTGATTGTGCATGATTCTTGGTCAAAATATTCTCGGAGATGCTTGCCAAGTCCGCAATGCAAGTTGCCGTGAAAATATCTACAGCCCCAACTGGCACTCCTAGGAAATTAGAAAGCTTCTGGGCTGCCCTAACCACCAGAATTGAATCAATTCCATATGACAATAAGCTTTCTGTGGCACAAATTTTGTTAATGGGAATATTTGTCAGTTCAGACACCAGCCCTTTCAAAAACTCTTCAATATCCTTATTACTTATTCTGGGACCTGGCTGTACTGAAGGCTGAACAAAAGCTCTTGACAGGTTTGTTAGTTGAGGACGAGGCGTATTTCCCTCCTTACATGTCCCTGTACTGAAGGATCGAAGAAAATTCCTCCTGAGCTTTATTGCTTCCGGTACTACATTAAGAGTTCCATCAACAAACTGTTTTAGGCATTCAAATCTCTTTATTTTTCCTGATGTTGTTTTACTGATGGTCCGAGGCTTAATCAACTTAACTGAAGCAACGCTAACCCCATGTTCTTCTGCCACACGGTTCTGAATTTGGTCAATGATATCCTTAGCAACAGGCTTACCATCCTTGACTTCAGCAATCACAACCAGACCAACTTGGTCAGAACAATCAGGAACTGGAATACCCTTTTCCATCAGGATTTCTTCTGGAACACCAATGACTGCACAACAACCTGGGCGTAGTAGATCAGATGAGCTCTCAACTGTCTTTTCAACATCTGCTGGATAGATGTTTCTTCCTGCTGCAATGATCAGATCCTTTATCCTTCCAGTTATGAATAACTTCCCATCGATTACTCTTCCCAAGTCGCCAGTTCTAGTATATCTCCGTCCATGATGGTTTTGGAGCTCATTTCTGAAAGTATCTTGGCTCAATTCTTTCCTTCCCCAATATCCAATTCCCGCACTTGGACTACTGATCCAGATCTCTCCTTCCTTTCCATCTTCTTCAAGCTCCGTCCCAGTCCCTGGATTGACTATTCGTATGTCAATATCTGCATTACCTTGATCTACATATCCACAACAAACTCTCCCTTGCCAGTCTATGAAGATGGGAATTCCTTCTCCAAAAGCACAACTCACAAATACACAGTTTTCTGCCAATCCATAACCTGGAGCCATCACCTCTTCAGTTAGGCCAAAAGGGCTAGTGAACTCAAGAAATTTTTTCAAAGTAGTTTTCCGAACAGGTTCGGCAGCAATCATGAGAAAAACCATGGAAGAAAGGTCATATGTCTGAGCCTTGCCCTTGTTAGCCTCCAATCTTCGAGCCACCAACTCAAAGGCAAAGTTGGGACCTGCACTATGAGTAGCTTTATATGTGCTCATAACATGAAGCCACAAAAGGGGGTTTTTTATAAATGTCATTGGAGAAAAAAGGATTGCAGTTCCACCACTCACAAGAGCAGTGAAAAGTCCACCAATCAGCCCCATGTCATGGTATTGAGGTAACCAGCTAACAAGTACTGTCCTTGAAGTACTCTTGTATCTTCTGCGCATCAACTTCACGTTATGAATGAGGCCACCATGCGTAATCATGACTCCTTTTGCATCACCTGTTGACCCAGACGTAAATTGCAGAAAGCTAACATCATCTGAGTGAGGTTCAGATTGGTTAGTCATCGCATCTGGAGCCAAATTGGCAAATTTCTTTATCCAACTATCAGTGTGCATCCATGGAAGTTTAGGCCACACAGCTGAAGACTTTCCATTTTCTCTCATCAAGCCAATCATATTCTTCACCTTGCCAACTCTAACTGCTGAATGATAACTAAGGGTCGACAGAATTGCGACTGCACCGCATGATTTTGCAATGTATTCGATTTTCAAAAGTGCTTGGCCACCTCTTTGGAAGGGATCAGGTGGAAGAACTGGAACTGGTAAAACCTTAGCTCTTAAGCATCCAAAGAATGCGTCAATGAAGTCGAGGCCAGGAACATATATGAGAAGAACCCGATCCCCTGATTTTATTGGAGGCTTCTGGTTTGATAGCAGCTTTTGAGCAATGCAAGAAGCATTGAGATGAAGCTCTCTGTAGGTCCGCTGGCCTAACACTGACCCTTCTTCATTAAGCCAAGTGTAAAGTACTCTATCTCGAGTGACATGATGTGAACCCCAGTGCCTTAAATACCCATCCAGTGAGTTCAAATCGGGAAACTCCACTCCTGGTAATTCGCCTAACCCCTTAACATCCCTTTCTCGTTTTGATTGTAAGAGAAACATGGACTGCAGATGCGACATGTTTCAGTTTAGTACAGATAAAAAAAAAAAAAGACACTTTTTCTTTTGTGTATTCAACTGACATTCATTATTGGGATCACCTTAGCATAAGAAAACATGGGAGAAGAGTTGTTTGCGAAGTGCTTGCATACGAGTGTCATGGCGTATGAAGAATTTCTCTCTGTAAGTTCAAAAGCCATAAGCCCTCCTACGTAATAAGTATTCAATGAACCTTGTAGCTCCAATTCCAATCTCTTGTAGAATCCGTCCTCCATATCTGCGCGAAGGCTTCAACATATATCAGCATCTCATCTTGGGAAGTGGAAAATTATTTAGATAACTTTACTTACCTTTGCTACAAACATGGGGGAAATATTTAAATCTTCTTTGCAGCATCACCTTCTTAACTTCTGCCCCCATTTTCTTAACTGTGTTGATTGCCAGCTCAGCCACTTTTGGACATGTAATGTCGGCTGAGTTCCCATAAGACCAGAACAGGAATATATCAGTGTCTGCGTAGAATCTCTGCATGGCAACCGGGTATCCAATTGTTTCCGGATTGTCCATATGTTCCCCAAAGTAATAAAAACCAAGCGGTAAATGATTTAGGCCTTCTATCTTCAGAACTGTGGTGTAATAGTCAATTGTGTATACTTTAGTGAACAGCTCCTTTTCGAGGTGGCTCATATCCATTGTCTCAGCTCCTTCTTCTGCAAATAATATCAATATAGACCTATTTATAAAAGGAAGGACAGAATAGAAAGGAGACATGGTCAAAGAGAGCTGAAAATAATCCATTCAAAACCTGACGATTTTGTGGTGGAGGACCTGTAAGTTCTACCATTTCTAAAAGGAAATGAACCAGAGATGATAATCTTATCAAACTCCAAACTTGTGAGATTTGTGTCAAGGTCCATGACATGAAGAGTTACAGTTTTAAAACTCCGTCTGACAGACACTACTTCGGTGTTGCAATGAACTTTGATTGGAATTGTCTCGCTGATCCTCTTCCACAGGCCCCCATACCCACCTTTGAAGCGTCGTATTTTACCTGCCATTGATGTGCGGGTGAACTCATGCACATAGGCATAAGGCATGTCTTGCAGAAACCCATATCCAGAAGCAGTGTAACCATAAGCCACAGACTTTGGGACAGACGTCAGTCCATGAGCCTCAAGATACGCAGGAGTTAAGTCAGATGCAAATGCACTCACAGCATGGACACCAATGTGTCCTGAATCCTTCGCTTTGTCCTGTACAGTAGAATTCCAACTTCCAACACTAAATAAGTATACTAGTATTCAAAGATTCCAGTCATAGCAGCAGAGGAAACTAACCTGGAGTTCTAAGGTGAGTGAGATAATGGAGGTATAATCGTCTGCAACGCCTATGTCTTGATATTCCCCTGAAGTATGAATGAGGGCTAGCTTATGGGAGTCCATCTCTTCCAATTCAGAGGCAGTTTCTTGGGCGAGGTGAAAGAT